CACTTGCAAAAATATGGTCAGATGACGCATGAGGAGAAATTTTTTTATCCAAAATGTTTCATTCTATTCAATTCTCGAAGAAACTTTTTAGACTCTAAAAGATCAAACTACATGTAAATTTGCAAAACTGTTGAACGAGATCAATGGTAACTTTTGCCTGTATTCAAAAGATCAGAATATAAATATCTGCGATTAGTTTGCCTCATTCACGAAATGCATTCATTTCTCCCTGTCTTTTTCATCTTGGCTCTTCAAGAGTCCGCAAAATCTGCTCTCCGGGTCAGTTTTTCTTTAAATCGAAGCATCTAAAATTCTCTGATGTTCAGACATGCACACCTGCTGAAAATAATCTTCCCGGTGGTCTCTGGACAGAATGGGAGACCACTGCACCTTGCCCAACAGAGTGTGGATCTTGCTCAAAGCGTTTTTCAACCAGGACCTGTCTTTCTTCGAGTATCGGAAAAACATGCACGTGAGTTTAGATTGGTTGTCAAACGAACAGATATCAATTCCAGAGGCCCTTCTACTCGACAAATCCTCTGTAACACGTCTCCTTGTATTTATCCATCTCAAAGAGCCTGCTGTGTTCCCTATGTCCTCATGGTGATTGATGGGAAGCAGCAATGTGGACCGATTCCGAAGGATCCCAGTGGAGTTGCAACTTCTTGTTGTCCTTCTGGTGGAATGGTTTCCGAATGGAGTGGATTTTTCCGTGATACCGTAACTAATATCTTTAAACGAACTCGCAAGTGTGTCTCGAAACAAATCGGATGTCCATGTACTGGATCAGCTCTCATCCAAACGCAATCTACATGTCCTTGTAAAGAGTTCGAAGATGTCAGTTCAATTGTTCGGTTCAGTCACAGAACGTACGATCTTCCGTTTATAGTGGACCAATCCACAGCCAATTGTTATGGATACAGTGACCTGCATTTCGATGGAACTGTTGGACGACCGTGTAACGATTACCCCACTTACAAAACTTTTCAAGCTACAGTAATACGATATTTGAAGCCAAATAACGATACAGTTCAAGACTTCCGTGTGTTCGATTGCCAATCAACATCGAGAACAAAGCGAGTCACTTTCTATTGTGGTTTGAAGTCCGAGTATTGGAGATTGGAAGGAACCAATGAGGAGGTTCGAGGATGGAATCAGATTGATATTCGATCAAATTAACTTCTTTTTTAAAGAATAAAATTGTATTTTTGATTTCTTTTTATTGAAAACCTGGTTCATAATAGGAAACCTGCGAAACAGAATATGAAAAAATCCCACAGGTCAAACCAAAATACATAATTTCTATACAACATTCCAAAATTGAATAAGAATCATAAAAGGTTCAAAAAGCCAACATTTTTACATATAAAACCATCTGGGCTTTGCAAAGACTTCCAGCTACGCCTTCCGGAATAATGAAGACGTTGTTTGTCTCTCTGTCACTAATCTTATTTGAGGTTTCTGAAGCAGCTCTTCCTGTGAGTTAGCATCGTTATTCAGTTTATTGGTAATGATAACAATAAGCTTCAGAAATGCTCCTATGACGTTTGTACCAATGGAGGACTCTAGAGTGAGTGGACTTCAACTGAAAAGTGTCCAACTGACTGTGGATCGTGTGCAAAGAGATTGTATACAAGAACATGTTTGAGCACGAATTTTCCGAATTGTGCTTGCAAGTGAGTCAAAATTTCCAGAAGATTTTTTAATGAGATATTCAGAGGAGAATCCGTTCGTAAAATCCTTTGCAACACCCACGTCTGCGTCTATCCGGCTCAACGAACCTGCTGTATTCCATATGTTCCAATGACAATTAACAAAACATCTCAATGTGGACCATTACCAAAGGACAAACTATTATCGAGTGAGGCCCCATGTTGCCCAAAGGATGGTTTTTGGTCCCAATGGAGTGGATACATACGTGATGAGAGCGGAGGATGGAAACGGTCACGAAAATGTCTCTCCGATTCAGCTGGTTGTCCATGTGACAACCCAACTAATAATGTGGAGATTAGCAAAGAATGCCCCTGTAAGAAAATGGTGGATGTCACGAATATGGTAGCCGACACTCATGCTACATTTCCACTCAACGTCCAGTACAACGACACCAGTTGCACAGCATTCCAAACCATGGAGCACTACAATGATCAAAACAAAAAAGTTGTTCCTTGCAACCGTTGGGGAAACGGTCATTTTTATCATGATCATTTTAATCATTTTTATCATGATCATTTTTATCATTTTTATCATGATCTAATCGTTTTCAATTGCTTGACTCAGATTCTTTGATTGAATACATCATCAAGTGCAGCTTTCACAATTTCATATCCCAATTTTTTAGTCTTGCTCATTGTTAAATTTTAGTGCAACGATGTGTCATGAGATTACAAACAAGCTTTTGACAGTTTCTATTGGTTATTGGTGATGAAACCGAAGATGATAAAAAAAATGATTTCTGTGGAACTGATATTTGTCGAAAACGACATTCTAGTCAATATACAGTTACTTTCTAGGCGGCAAAAACCTTTTGAGTCATCCATGGTTCCGGTCGTTTGGTTTATCAGTTTATCATGCATCGTCTGGAATATTGAACTCAGATCATCGAGTAGTGCAGTTCTTCCTTGGCAATTAAACGCCGAGAGGCACATTCATTTCTTATCAATGCAATTTCTTTTAGGAGTGAGCAAGACTACACACATATATAGAAATCGATTCAACGGTCTGCTCACAGTTTTCCAGTTTTTTCTCATTTTTCTTGTCTTGCCCTTCTTTG